CATGGCCAGCACACTGAAGTAGCCCGGCATCATGCCGGCCTTGATGCGGACCCAGTAGGGCGGCATGTCCTTGCCAAAGGCGCGGCTGTGGTACACCTCGAACGGGTACCCGTACCCGCTCGTCTGCAGCCGCAAGCAGGCGCGATTGGAGGTGTGAGTCGAACAACCGCCGCGACCGGTCATCGATGCAGGATGGGCAGGCAGGGGTCGTTACCTGCTCGTCATTGACGAACGACGGGGTGAGCATCTCGCGCAGCGTGCTAGAGTAGATGCCCAGCACGTTCTTGCGCTCGTCCTGGCCCACCATGAAGAGCGACGCCAGCTTGGCCAGGTCCTTCACCGTGGAGTACACCTGCAGCACCACAACGTCGCGAAAGTGAGGTGGGCGACGATACAGGGTACCGCGGACAGCGGTGGGCGCAGAGGTACGTTGCCAGTCGCGCGTGCCCAGTTGAGGTCGGCGTGCGCCACAAACGACGGGAAGGTGGTGTTGCCCACTTTGCCCGGCGGCACCCTCTTGGCCATGTCCGACCAGGAGTTGTAGGCCAAGAACGAGCTGTCCATTCCTGTGCGGTGGTTCGCACCGAAGCGGAAACAAAGAGGGAGTGAGCAGGGTTCGACTAAGAGCGATCGTCGGGGGAGGGAGGGCTACCGAGGGGTTTGAAGATGTGCTGGGTGATGTAGTCCTCGTAGGACATGCCCACGACGGACTCCAGCGCGCGCCCGATGATCGCGTAGGCCCCGTCGGCGTAATGCGGGTCCTGCCACATCGGCACCGACGGCTGGCGAAGAATTATTGGGGTCAGTTACCCCCTATCACGCGGGGGAATGCGTTCATGAACCACGCACCGGATCGGCCGTGACGCGCTTCCACGCCTCGGCGTTGGAGATCTCGCATGCATCGCCCAGGAAGGGCTCCAAAATGGTGAAAAAGTTGCAGGGTGTCGCTCCCGTCAGGCCACTACCGTCGCCACCATCACGTTGTCGTTTAGTGGTGGTTTCTTGTTTATCACGAATCTCTTTGTGTGTAGTGTGTGGTACCTGATCTGACCGGCGAGGGAGCGCCAGGTAATGCCGGGGTTGTTCTTGAAGGGCGTCGGCCACACCAACTCCGGCACGTATTTCTGTGTGGTCTTAACAGTTAAAAACACCAATGACCATGCGTGCGTGTTCTTGGGATCGGGGCGGCGTACGCTGACGGGGTCGTCGAGCGAGAGCTTGCCCTGGTCCCTCAGCTGGAAGAGCATGATGTTGGTGATCAGCTTGGTGATCGATCCCACGCGGTAGATCGTGTTCGCGTCCACTTGTCTGCGCGTCCGCCCGCGTGGGTGTGAGTAAGTGGCATGGTGCGATGTGGCGGTCCTTAAGGAAGTTGGTGGAGTTGGTTGTGTCGCTTACGAGGAGGGGTCGGAGGGGTCGATGAGGCCATAGCCCTGCTCCCACACGAGCTCCTGGTCGTACACGATGCCCACCGACAGCGCTTGGACCCCGTTCGCCTGCGCCGCCGTTTGGAAAGAAGCACTGATGTTCTTGATGGCCTCGCGCAGCCGCTCCGGCATGAACTGTAAAACGACCACACGACCACACGACACGACACGCACGCGAGTCCCGCAACAATTTGAACAATGTCCGGTTTGTGTGGTAACTGCCAAGTTTCCGGGAGTGAACGAGGAAAGGGCACGAGGCGTACGCGTTGGTTGATGAAAGCTTGAGGGACGGCACGGGGGTGGTTGGGGCACATGGGGAAGTCGAGGATGAGGTCGCGCTTGTTCACCGTGGCCGCGCCGTTGCCACCACCACTCCGTAGTAGCTGCTGGTTGTACAGCACGCGCTGGGCCTCTTCCCAAGGCAGTCCGGCGCATTGCCGCGGTGCCGCACAGGCCAGCACCAGCAAGAGCGCCGCAGCGAGGAGCAGCCTTTCCGTCGTGAGCTTCATTCGTGAGGCCAGTCACAACTGGGTTGGTGCAACAAAGAAAAGAGACGAGAAGTGGGCACACGGCGGCGATTGGCCCTTAAGTGTGCCAAAGAAAAACCGGGAAAGTGCGACCAATGAGAGAAAACGAAAGCGAAATGAGGCTTACAAAGAAAAAGAACGAAAACGAAGATGAGGTTCCAACCTCTGGTGGTGGTTCTTTTATTGAGCTTGGCTTCGGTGGCGTTGGGCGACGACCCTCACTGCTGCGCTCCGGCGTCTTTCTCCTTCCGTATCGAATCCTTCACCAACGTCGCCGGTTCGCCGTTCCCCTTTGCACTTCGAGTTTGTTGCAAGCGTTTCGTGACCCCAGGCAAGCGATTTCGGAGATTTGAGGGTTCCGCAAAAGAAAAATTCTTTTCTTGCGCAATTGGTTCAGGAAATGTCTTTTTTGTTTGTATTTCCACACTGGCCAGTGGCCACGATTCGACAAGATGAGCGCTGATTTCGGTGCCAAAAGTGGCGCCTATGCGCACACTCATCTTCTATGATGTAGCCGGTGGTTTGCGCACAGGGCAGCTTGATTTGGTGGCCTGTTTGGAGCAGGATCTCGAAATCAATAAAAAATGATTTTTACATAACCATGCCTGGCAAAAGCCGGGCGTATGGGGGAGTCGACAGAATCGCAATCCTGGCCACCTTAAAGGGTACCTACCGGGAGGTACTTTGCTGACGTGTCAGGCGGGGAAAAGGAAAGGTCGACAGAATCGGGATCCTGAGTCGGAGATTAATTTCGAAGTGAATTGTGGCTTCCTCCACCTCGAGCTTACCAAGTCTTCGAGCCCCGATGATGGTGATCGCAGCACCAAGGGCCAGCGCGGAAAGAAGAAGACAAAGTCCAGCGGCGGCGGCGACAGCGTGGACGATCTCGCCCGACACACCTTTGCACACTTTGTCGCCGGCGGGCCGCGTACCGCCCGCAACCCGCGCCTGCGCGCCATCGTGGCCGACGTCGGACGTCTCTCGGCCGTCGCGCTGGCCACCGTAGCTACGGGATCGACAGACGCCACAACAACAACGATAACAACAACCACCAATGCCCCCGCAGCTGCGTCGTCGTCGACGGTCATCGCCGCGTCGTCGCCTTCGCCCCGCGCACGACGAACACGGAGCACGGTCGTGATCGGCAGCGATGGCGAAGACGATCGTGTCGAAGAGGAGGAGATTGTAGAAGAGGAGGAAGAAGAGGTGAGTGATAAGGAAGACGAAGACGACGACCATGAAGCCGGGATCCGGGTGGAGAGGATCGGGCACCGTGGCACGGAAGCCATGCACGGGGTGGTGCGTGGCGGAGCGGGCATGTGTCGCGTCCACCTCACCCCCACGGCCATCGTCCAGCTCGACCGTCGGTACCGATCCCCCCGAACACCACACCCACAGGGTACTGCCGGCGGCTAACGTTCAACCGATTACGATGTGTGGCGCAGCCCGTTCGTGGTGGTGCCGTATTGCGAGATTGAAGTGGCATGCTTGGAGCGTGCACTCTTCAGTACGGCCAGCCTCGTTGTGTGTGTGTGTGTGTGTTGTGTGTGTGATTTAATGACTCACATCCGCTTCGTATACAGAACCTGCGTTGCGCAACTTTGACCTGGCGCTCGTGAAGAAGAGCGTGCGACAGAAAGTCCCTACGACCAAGCCCAAGCCCAGGCGCAAGAGACGCGCTACCAGGAAGAGCGGCAAGAAGAAGCGTCGGCGCGGGGAAGATGACGAAACAGAAGACGACGATGAAGAGGATGAAGACGACGAAGACGTGATCGGGGGCAAGAACCTGAGCCGCTACGTGGCGCAGGTCCACTCGATTCCCATGGAGTACCTGGCCCGGCTGGAGAGCCGGCTCAGCGACGAAGCCGTGCCGCACCACCGGGGCCTGGGCAACGTGCAGTGGCCTCCGCTTCTCAACTTTGGTACGCCGGACGCCCCCAATCCCGACCATCGCCCCTTCATCACTGAATCTGTGTCGTGTGTCGCGTGTCGTGTGCGGTTGCGCGTTTCGTGTTGTGTTGTGTGCGTGTCGTGTTGTGAACACAGTGCGGGACAACCCGGAAGAGTTCGAGAGGACGGGTGGGTGGGCTCAGTACTTGAAGCCCGAGCATGGAGAGGGCGCCGGCGGACGGAGGAGGAAAAGGGGATCCGACGACTCTGACGACGGCAGTGAAGACGACGATGACGACAGCAGCGGCAGCGAGGGAGACCTGTGGACGATGAATGGCGGCGACGACGACGAGGAGAGCGACGGCGAGTTTACGCCCGAGGCTGGCCTCTTGAACGCGTCCTACAGTGAAATCGACGACGCCGACGACGCCGACTCACCCCGAAGCAAGCGCAAGCGCAAGCGATTGCCGAGCGCGACTGCCGGCACCTCGTCGGGCGAGAAGAAACGGAGCGAAACGTCGCCGGGCCTCGCCGCTCTTCTGCTCCAGGTGCCGGATGACGAAGACGTCCACCTCGCGTCCATGAAAACGACGAAGAGGAAAGTGAAAGCGAAGACGAAGAAGACGAAGACGACGACTACCGCCGGAGACGAACTTAACGACAAAAGAGAAAAGAAAGCGAACAAGGGCAAAGGCGACGACGAGGAGCCAGCGAAGAAGAGGCGACGGCCAGCGGCGACGAAGGGGGATCATGGCAAGGAGCAGGCCATCGCGAAGGTGTCCACCAGGCGGAAGCGCACATCCGAGGACGCCGAAGAGGCCAAGAGCGCGTCTAAGGCTCCGCGCACGCGGGCGTCGAAGAAGAAGAAGAACGAAGACTGCGGCGAGAAGGACGCGAAAGCGAAAGCTAAGGCCGAGACAAGGACCACGCGGTGCCTCGCAGTGGACGAGACGATCATCGAATCGACGGACGACGAATTTGAGCCGAAAGCGGCTAAGCCCGCGGCGGCGGCTTCCTCCGCGGCCGAGTCTGCCCGGGCACGCAACGAGCGTGTGCGCCAGCGGCGGTTCACCGGCTACAACACCCGGTCCCGCCGTGGGGCGACGCCCGCCGGCGGCCCGCAGGACAAGATCATCCGCATCGACCCTCCGCCCACCCGCCGCAAGCGGTCCCTCGCGCCACCAACGGCAGCGACCACACCGCAGCAGTCGAAGGATCTCGAGGAGTCACCACGGAAGAAGAAGAAGATGCCGGCGATGAAGGCCGAGGCCGAGGTGGTGGACTCGGCAGCGAGCACGCAGACGCTGATGCTGCGGCCGACCGTCGTGGCGGCGAGCGATGACGGGGACGAGAGCGGTAGTTGCAGCTTCAGCTTCAACAGCGGAGACGAAAGCGCCGGGAGCGCGCTTGGGGAGGCGGGCTACGAGAGCGAGGAGTCTAACCGGCTCTACGACAGCACCAGTACTTCGACGTCCCCAGTCGCCGCCACCAAGTCCCCCCTCGCCAACATCGGCGGGGTGCCCGTCGGCCTGCACCAAAACTCCCAGTGAACAGAGCAAGAAGCAGAAGATAAAGAAAAACTTGTGAAAATTGGGGGTTGGTTGCGCCTTGCCACGGATGTACAGTGCTGGTGGGATCGTCTAGAAAAAACAAAAATAGAATAAATAAGACATCTAAAAAGTTGACTGGCGAGCAGATCAAGCAGACTCGGTGGAATCGTCGCCCAGGATGCTGGGCGGGCTGCTCTGTTCGAACACGGGGTTGTCCGTCGACTTCTCGATGGCCGGTCCGCCCCGGTAAATCGTGTTGTTGTGCAGGTCGTAGGTGGGATAGCGGCGCCCTATGGGGGTCGTCGCCTCAGGCCGCGGCTGCTCCCTCATCTCCACAGAGTTCTCGTCTTCTTCCAGGTCGGCCGGGGTGGGGCTGGGTAGAGGGTCGGCGTCGATCAGGTCCTCCCACACCGACTGCTTGTTGCGGGCAAAGGTCTCGCTCCGGTCCATCTCGCGCCGCTTCTTGGCGCTGCTGATCGGCGGTAGGACGGAGGAGCTCGAGCACTTGCTGAGTACGTCGGTGCTCACATCGGACGAGGCAAAGTTGATCGAAGCCAGCGTCGGCTGGGTGTCCCGTTTGTTGCGCCTCGCGCGCACATACCAGAGGGTGCCCAGCACCACAAGCACCAGCCCTACAAATCCCGCGGCGCCTATCGTGTCGTGTCGTGTGCGTGCGTGTGCGTGTCGTGAGTGCGAGATTCTCGGCTAAAGGCAAATGGTGAGGTGGTGGTTACCGCCAACAGCCGCGCCGGCCACGATGCCGAGCGGGAAGTCGTCGCTACTCCCGCTCTCGGTCTCGGTCGTGCCGAAGAGCACGTTGAAGTCGGGATCGTAGACCCAAGTGGACTCCCACGGGGCGGTCGTGATGCTCAACGCCTTTGTGGAGGAGCTAAAGGTGACCGTGACCTCGACGATCTCTGTTGGCGTGGAACGTGTGAGCTCAAGAAAATAAGAACAAGAACAATAATAAGAAGAATTAAGAACCAACTTACCGTCGTCGAGGATGGCTTGGTCGAGGTACCGCAGGTCCACATTGAACCCATTGCTCAAGACCATCGTGATCGTGAACAAGTGGTCATTGGAGTCACTCCTGCGAGTTCATAGCAGCATAAGAAAAAAACAAATGCAAAAGGCGGAATGTATGGGGGTAGCTCACCTGACCGGGTCGGACGTGCTGACGACCGACTCGGTGCCCAGGTCGAGTGCCAGCTCGAGCACAATGTTCTCGTCGGGCACGACGGTGAACGGCGGTGGGCCGATGAACTCGAGGCCGTTCTTGACTGCGCCGGCAGGGATCGTCAGCGTCTGCCCAGCGAATGTCACCTGACGCGAGGAGCTGAATGCGCGTGTATGGGTTAGTGGTCGCTTGTGGTGCTCATTCCACGCATTCTTCTCCTAAGAAGGCCATCGAGCAGTACTTGGAGACGCTGAACGTGGTGGACGCGGTGGTTTCTCCGTCGTTGAACCGCGACTGGAAGCTGATGATAGTCTCTCCGTCGTCGGTGGTGGTGGATTCGAGGCTCTGAGAGAGGCGCGTTGTGTCCAGGTCATATCTCTGTCCCGCAGTGGTGCCGAAATTGGTCCATGACATCGCCATCGTCATGCTGCATTCCACCGCCGCCGCCGCCACCCAAGCATTAGTGAGAGCCCTGACCGCCTCCCACTCCATCCCGCAGTACCTGGTGTTGCCCGACGCTGCCGACATTGCCATGTTGGGGGTGTCGGCGGCGTTGGCGATGTAGCCACGATCCGGCGGTGTTCCGCCCTCCGGTACCCGCATGCTCGAGCAGTCGGAGCCTGCACTCCGACGGTACAGGCGTGAGCAGAGCCCGGGCCTCGATACGATGACACGATATCATTGATATCATTGATATCGTGCCACGTACCGTAATAGCCGGTCGCGCACTCGCAGTAGGCCAACCCCGACGCATTTCGACACTGGCCGTCGTTCAAGCACGTGGGATCGCACAGCGTGTCGAAGCCAGATCCCAGATCGACGATCTCCGTGATGTTGAGTCCTGCGCGGGGAAACGAGTGTGGATGGTCAGGCAGGCCGTGAAGGAGCGAATCAAGGTATGCCGCTGATCTGAGGAGGCACGTACCGGTCATCCCCACGAGCTCGAGCCGGTTGGCGATCAATCGGAGGGATTGCTCCGCAACCGACAGGGACGCCGAGTCCCACAGCTGAATGGTGACGCCCGTTACTGACCAGCTGCTGATGCGCAGATCCATTTCGTTCACTATAGAAAGGAACCATTAGTCATATTAAAACAATAAAATGAGATGATAAACATATAGAAATATGAACAAATTACGGAAGGACTCATGGTACGTACCGCTGAGGATGTTCGCCACAAAGGTCGCTAGTTGCGCCCGAGCAGCGAAGGTGAATGCGGTCACGTTGAAGCTGGGGATGGAGACCCTCATCCGCGTCTGTGTCCTGACTGGGATCGGGACCAAGCACAGATGGCATCGTCAGTGCAGGCCCGAGCAAGAGGACCCGATGTAGGAGAAGAGTGGGGAGGAAGAGAGCCGTACGCCAGGTGAACGTGTTGAACCGGGTCTGGGTGGGCGCGATCAGGCGGTTCTCTAGGGCCACGGTGTCATTGAGGCGGACCGCGATGGGCACCGGATAGGCCAGGGTCTGCGCAGCTTCCGGCGGATAGATGGTGCACGAAAAGTGTTGTCCGGCGCCCCACGTCAAAGCCGTGAGGGAACACACTCGCTCACCTGTGAGTCGTATGTGTGTGGTCAGCTCCTTCCCATGATGCTCAGGCCCATTGTGAGGGGGCGACGGCGGCAAACCAATGGAGATCTGGTTGATTACGCAGGGCAGGATGGGCGATTGCCCTACTGCTACGGAGCGCGCACTGGAGCCCTTGAGAGTGAAGTTGAAGCTGAGGGTGACACTCGTGGCCTGGAAGGTAAAGCTGAGCGGAGTGACCGAGTAGTCTAACTGGTCGACCCTGCACTGCGGCGAGGAGGATGGCGACGGCGACGCTGTGGGCGACCCGATCCGCGTGAGGGAGGGTGTGCGGCTGCCGGTGGGCGACGAGGGCGTCGGGCTGACGGTAGATGAGGGCGACGGGGTCGCGCTGGTTGTGAGCGAGGGAGTTCCAGAAGGCGACAGAGAGGGCGTCCCCGTGCCGGTAGGCGTCAGCGAGACAGTGGAACTGGGAGTGGCCGAGAGCGAAGGCGACCGAGTCCCAGTGGGTGAGGGAGAGACGGTCGGAGTGCGGGTGGGCGTCAGAGTGGAGGTGGGCGAGCGAGATGGCGACTGGGTCCCGGTGGGCGTCGGAGTGTTGGTGGGTGTCAGAGACACAGTGGGACTGCGAGTGGGCGAAAGCGAAGGCGACTGGGTCCCAGTGGGGGAGGGAGAGACGGTCGGAGTGCTGGTGGGCGTCAGCGACACAGAGGAGGTGGGCGAGCGAGAAGGCGACTGGGTGCCGGTGGGGGAGGGAGAGACGGTCGGAGTGCGGGTGGGCGTCAGAGTGGAGGTGGGCGAGCGAGAAGGCGACTGGGTCCCGGTGGGCGTCGGGGTGTTGGTGGGTGTCAGAGACACAGTCGGGCTGGGGGTGAGCGTAGGAGTCTTGGTGGGCGAGGGAGTGGCGCTGGGAATGGGCGAGTTAGACGGCGTCGGGAGGGGAGTAAGCTGGACGCCCTGATCGCAGCTGATGGCCTGGGTATAGAGGACGGGCTCCGACGCCCACGCCCACGCGATGGTGAAGTTGTATACCTCGCCCTGAGTGAAGCCGCCTGCCTCGTAGATGGACGCGTTCAGGTTGAAGAACTCCGTGCTCTCGATCCTGTTCAGCCCACTGGTGCCGTTGTTGAAGACCTCGTAGGATTGGGCGAGGCCCAGGCGGAGGAACCACACGGGCGCGGCGCCGGTGGTGATGTCGCCCCGCCACTGCGAGACCTGTGGCCCGGTGTCGTCATAGGAAATTCGAACCGTGTTCTGCACGTACACTGCGCATGGTGGCGACGGCGAAACCTCTCGGATCGCCCTGTGTCGGTATTCTGCCACACGAAATCCAGTTGCGAGCCGGTCAGCAAACACAGGTGCTGGCCACAGTACTGAGCCAGCATGGGTTCACCGTGAGGGGGGGGTACCTTGTGCATCACCAGCCGCTGTGCCTGGGCCATCTGCAACACAATCACTTAAGAAGCTTGGCGGGGGAGGGGGCGGTGATGTGCTGACTATTGAAGGGGTAGTACCGATGTGGGTGATGTGGGCCTGGGTGCAGACACAAAGACACAGAAGGATCAAGAGCGACCGCATGTCGTCCCTTGTGTAGAGCCAGCTGAATGGTGTAAGAGGGCTTCGGTTGTTGGGCTGGCGGCGTGTGGCTAGCAGTCCATAATCTTCGCTCGCGCAAAGCTCGGGTACTGTCAAAGACAACAGGGCAATGCCTCGGTTTCAGTTCATGAAACGTCGCGGCGTATTTCTTCTTTGGCCTTATTAGGTAATTGCAGCGTTCTTGCCCCCAGGCTTGCCACGGCATCATTGAAGCACATAACCGAAAGAGGTTTCGACTCTTGTGCCACAAGCCGTGGTCCGCCACAGGAAACGAGTGAGAGAGAGAGAGAAAAAAGAAAAAGTGGCCTCCTTTGCGCTTCGGGCATTATCAAAAATACCTCAATTTTGGCCAATAACCAATTTGGCGGGAATATTAGGTGGGGCGAAACTCGTTTTCTTCTTCTCTGGCTGCTGAGGAAGAAAGCGAGGAAGCGACTGAGCTTCGCTCTTCCCATTTCCTCTCTCCCGACCACTTCTTCGCCAGCACTTCTTGTACGCGGCAGGTGTGAAGCCTGGCAGCCAGAGAAGAAGAGAAGGCGCTAACATGGAGCGGTACGACGCCAGTGAAGGCGAAGAAGAGGTGCGGCTGTCGGCCGCGAGCCAAACGGAAAGGTCGGGGCTGCTCGGCAGGGGAGCTGGCAGCTCGAACAAGAAGAAGAAGAACAAGGGCAAGTATGACAGCGGTCTGGGCGAGCTCGACACGGATTTCGATGAAGACAACGAGCAGGTAGTGTTCTCTGTTGGCGAAACCAAGCGCCCGAGCGGCAAGGACGGCGCCTTCGACAATCACTACTCCCAGATCACCCCCAAATCGTATCAGTTCAAGGCTCTCTTCCGCAAGAACTTCAAACTCCAGGTACTTTCCTCATCAACGAATTGAAGATTTCATCAGTACACATAAATAAATAAATAAATAACCTCTCATCTTCTCTGGCGCTTGTCGTGCAGTTGCGGCAAAGGTGCACGCTGTGCTGCCAGATTGTGGTCCCGCTACTTCTCATCCTCTACGTGGGCGCCATGCAGCTACTCTTCAACTCCCTCCTCGACGACAACAAGGTATGTACTTCGGCCCTACATTTAATATGATTTTTAAAATGATATTAAAATTGTAAATTCCACTAATTCATTATTCATGGGATTGGACGTGCAGGGGTGGAAAGACCCCGAGGTGAAGATGCCCGTCGCGCTGAACCAAAGCTGGACCTACTTCATCGGCGATCCCTTGCCACAGTCGGTGCCCGATCTGGGCTACCTTTCCATCACTGGCGATAAAGGCGGTACGAACACACACCGCACCCACACCCACCTCTGATCACTCCTTCACCACCCTAATCGCTCCGTACACAGGCATGCTGAGCAGTATAAACCAGACGAAATACTTTACACCTAACGGCACAGCGTACCACATGCCCTTCCTGCTCCCGTACTCCTCCCGAGCAAAACTGCAAACCGAGATTAAGAGCATGAAGGTATGGAAGAGCTGCGCAGTACATGCATGTGGAGAGTATCGGTCTTGTAGAGCACCACGGCGCTAACCACCAACATGATACCGGCACTGTGGCCACACACAGGATCGGTTCTCGGCTGCCCTGCAATCGGGTGGGGAAATCGAAAGCTTCCTCGCGGCTCCCTTCGCCGCGCTAGGTGCGCCCAACCCACGGGGGCCGGCGTCGACTAAAAGCGAATGCTGCTAACCAGGTCTCCTCTCTTCACTTGCTCGCTCTGCAGCATTCTCGTTCAGGAACGTTTCCACGCAGGGAACGCCGCACCTCAGTTTCGAGCTGCAGAGGGAGCAACAGTATCCCTACATTATCGCCTACCAGTAATCCCCACCACCCCGCACATGCCACATTTCCTTGGCAGGACTGTTATAATTCGTTTACTTTGCCTCAATTAATTGCTCTCCAATCCCACAGAGGCGACTCGTCGAGTGAGCTGGGCGTTGCAGGTATCATCCTGATGGCCAGCGCATGGCTCGTCGCGAGCATCAACCTCGTTGTCAAGACTCTCCTGCAGGTGCGCACCACACTCATGGCACGACACACACACACACAATTGGAGAATTCCCTCTCTGACCGTTATGAGTGCCGCAACAGGGCTTCCCCTACGAAGACCTGCCGCTCAACATCGACGTGGGCAGCCTCACTGCGACGCTGA